GGTGCCTCAATAATCCAGCCTATTTTTTATGTAAAACGCTCCTGAGCCAGAGCTATCGGCGCCTCGGCCGCCAGCGGCCTGGCGGTAGTGGGGGAACAAGAGGCGTCGTCTCAGGAATCGGCCCGAAATGTGCAACTAATTCCGAGCGCTGGTATAAATAAATGCAATTTCTCTCAATAATTTTATTTGATATATAAAAATTAAAGGTGTTGCAAATGTGTTTGTCTTTTTCTAACTACAATATATTTCTTACAGATCAAAATTCTAGTCAAATTGACATGAATATGGCATTCCGAAAATTATTATTAAATGGCGGACTAATATTAATCGCTACAATAACTATCACGTTTCCTACTGCTAACTGTATCGAATATGACGATCCGGTTAATTATAACAACTTGCCAGAAATAGTACCGTTGCATTATAATGTCGAAATACGATTTCTATACAAGGACAATATTTTACTCGGACAATGTGGTATTGTTATACGCACTAATCGTGTACTGAACTTAATAAAACTAAACACCGTACCCGTTCATACAATTGAAGCAGTCTTGACTAACAGTAAAAAAATTGTGATTCCATCTTCTGTACTCACCAACCATAATACTATTCTTCCTATTCAATTGCATCGCAACATATCGACTGATACATACACATTAAATTTTACATATATGCGTGTAATATATGAAAACAGCAATGTATACCAATCTGTACATCTAGACAAATTAGGTGAAATGTGAGTTAAAATATTTCAAACATATCGTTATACCGTAAATATATGTACGTTACTATTCTGTACAAAATATATTTAATGTACTCATCATTATCTTGACATGCCAGAAACTATGCAAAAAATTTGTCGACATATCATGTAGAACTACATTCCAAATTGTCACACTCGAGACAGCGAATTATAAAATATTTGTATAATTTTTGAACCTTAATGTTTTAACACTTAATTATGATTAATAATATATCTTTATCTAAACTATAGCATTGAAATATTACAGGTTGAACAAAACAGGTATCGTAATAATGGACGTCTCACAACTATTTCCGTACATGAACGAGTCAACCACCAAATCTACATTTAAAATTGCCATCAAACATGATGAAGAATATACAGTTTTATCGAACATGCCTATACGAGTACGAAACAAAGCTAACAATCGCATGATGTGGACTGACTTTAACGAATCATTATCAATGTCTCTTCAACACATAAGGGTTGTAATAACCACATTTACTAATGTTTCTAGTCACCTTGCAAATGTTACCATATGGTGCAGGCAAAGTGCTCAACAACTAATTTATTATGCAAGAGATGTTATTGAAAAGGTTATGCCTTATTTTAAACAAAAATATATGCAGACATTATCAAAACTGGATATTATTGCATTCCGGCATCCT